ACGACGAATATCTTCCCCCTACGGAATGGCGGCTCGGCCGCATAGAGAAAATATATCATGGCTCCGACGGTCATGTCCGCGTAGTTGATCTCCGTACACAAAGCGGCACACTAACTCGACCGCTCGTCAAGCTATGTTTCCTTCCAACCGCCTCTCCTACCGATTGCGCGAATACCATTACCTAAAATCATCAAACCGCAATAACGTAACAAAAACCGAGAGTATCAAAAGTGCCTAAATCCGGACCCTCGAACTCATACCAAGGGGCTTACGCCTAGCAATCATGTTCATAACTGCTTACAGCTATGCTATACTATACCGCAACAGCCCCGGCCGCAGCGCCACGCAACGTCACGCCTCGTCTCGCCGCCGCTCCGACGGCACCACCCCGTGCTGAGCATCCACAAAGGAGCCCATGAGAAATGCAAGGCGTACGATGCCCGCTATGTAGGCGCCCACACAAGCTGCGCCTATGCTCCATATTTAGGAGTATGCAGCCGCCGCAGCGCCAGCAAGTCACGCAGGCGCATGGGTACTGCCTCAATTGCTTGGCGCTATCCCACGCAACGAGGGAATGCGACTCCCCCATCAGGTGCCAACTATGCGACAGACCGCATCACACGCTGTTCCGACGTCCGATGATCGAGACGTCAGTGCCAAGCAACCATAGACGGCGAAGGCCGCACGACAGCAGTACAGCACGATCGCGGCGACCAGCAGTACAGCGGGGCCACCGCACTTGGAACCATCCTGGGGCTCGATATCGCGCTCCAGCGGTCACACATCGCCGGCACCAGCCTACGCAACATCCCCGTCGTGCAANGCGGCACCAGCCTACGCAACGTCCCCGTCGTGCAACCGGAATCAGCAACGTAGTGGAGACCCTGCAGCAACTCCAGCAACTACTAGGCTGAAGACTCACCTAGGGAGGCCGGGATGGCTCAGTGAGTTCGGCCGTTCCCCCGTTTTCGACCGTGAATGGCTCCGTGGAATAGCAGCAACCCTGCCTAATCGCCTACTCACCACGGCCCGTTCCACCCACATACACATAATACACGTACACATATATACACATGAATTGTACTCACTCATACACACACACATGAATTACAACACAACATGAAACAAAACACAATTTGTCGATCGTCAAGCCGAATAGACGTGTTCTCCCCGCCAATTATATTTTAATAAAACCCCCTTCAACGTTAACAAAAAGATTGTTCCATACTTGTTTTGTAGTGCCCTTCTGTTGGAAAACTGGTGAGTGTTGCCCTGGTGTAAGGGTAACGATGGTCCTTCTGCGCCAAACAGACAGGCACCTTTGAAAATTTAAATTGCTCAAAAAAAAAGGGTGAAAACAGTGAAAAAACCACACTGAAGCAAATACATACATAAATATATACAAAAATAAAGGCAAAAATGAACAAAAAGCAGCAAAGTCATAAATAATTTACTAAAATAAAACGGGCGCGGCGAGCAAATTTCACACTTAACACAAAACCAAAAATTTCGGGCACGAAAAAACCAAAAAAATTTATCACCAACAAGTGAGGAAGAGCATTGGGCAAACCAGCTACATAAAGGAAACGAGGGCGCAACGTCAACGAAGGAGGAGGACAGTATACGGAGCACAGGCACTCCAGAGGACAACATAGTTCAAACTCAACAACACCAACTAAACCCCAAAGCCCTTGAACACATCAAAGTTAGTTGTATCGTTCCACTTATTTACAAAAGTATCCTAAATCAAGCCAAAAAAGCGAACTGAGCCCGATTTAATAAAAAATATTTTTTCTTGAATAACGGCGCTAGTTAATTTACAGCTGCCAGGAAAAATTTAATTGCGATACACATATACATATTTATGAAAATTTAGTCCCCCTACCCAAGATATAAAAATATTCATACAGTCCACTCAGAAAACTAACAACTCAGCATAGCTTAAAAATAAAAGGCGCAAAATTATTTACATAAATGCCCGTATGTATCTAAATACATACAGAAATTCCGCAAAATAAATACAGTTCGCTTTAGAAGCTACATATAAAAAACAATAATTCCTCCGCTTGCTTATGTGCTTAAATTTCGTGTAATAAAACACAAACAATTATACCGCAATACATAAATATATTCAAGTGGACACTTGCCAATATTTCCAGCAATACCCCTTCTGTTTGTATAACAAACAGCAAGCAGGATTGCATAAAAAAGTAAGCAACAAAGCAAAATCATTGTTAATAAGAATTGGCGGCAAAACAACTAATAACGTATGTACACATAAACATAATACATACGTCATAATATTCTTCCCCAATTATCTAATACAATACAGGCTTTATATTGTTTATCGGTTCATATACATATAACATATATATGTACATACTCCCGTTCTTTGAACCCAAAAATAATATTGAAACCAAAACATACTCACATATCTTTATAAGCGGATTATTAGCAAGCAAACTGCATTGCTCAGTTACCGCTCTCTCATCATTTGCATGCACTAACATATACGTATACATACAAATATACGTATATACATGCCTATAGGCATACATATATGTACTAACGCAAAACTGCATACAAAAAAGTTATGAAAAGTGCGGGTACGAAAAATCGCGGCATATATACAATTTTTTAACAAATTTGATACATCATCTGATACAAAGAAGATCAGAGCAATAGATTTTCAAATAAATTATACATCCTAATAGGGGATTGTTAAATAAACATCCAAAGGAATTATTAAATAAACCTCCAAAACGCGTACATATATATCTACATAACATTTACATTGTTAAAAAGGTGCGGTAAAAAAACATAATAGTGCGGTTCTTTGTATTAATTAAATTAATTTGATCGGGTACACAGCTCACTAGCTGTAATTCGTATACCCAGAAAAAAAGGGACAAAATAAAAACCAAATTTTTTGTCTTTACAAAACATCCATAATAAAAGAGCGGTTATATTAAGTAATAAGGCGATACGTAACCTGACTAATTTAATCGGAGGTTACTCATTTATTTGCTTAAAGCAGTATAAACGGAGAAAAACCGGAAAAAGCTAAAAAAAAAATAAAAAAAATAAATAATACATAAGCACGTAAATAATAAAACACGAAAGAGAGTATTGCGGATACATTGTGTTACTATAAAGAAAAGTAAGTCAAAATCCGATCGACTATACGGGCACTCATATTATTCCATCATTCGCGGGTATTAAAATACATAGAAAAAAAAACAA